CTATAACCAACTTTTATCAAATAGTTTAAAAATGAATTATTTCAATAATCAGAAAATTATATGAAATTAAATTACTGTTATTCTTTTATATTTATTACAGTGTTGAAAATCGCTTACTTTTTCATAAAACGTAGATATACACCATCTTCGATAGTTGATCAAAATTCTACAGAAGAAAGCGATGTTTATACAAGCAGTGAAAATGCATTCAATGAATCTTCGTCAGAAAGCTTTAATTTAGAAAATGAAAAAGTAATTATCCTAAATATAAGTATATTATTATTTCCTAATTAAACTTATATACTTATTTAAGTTCTAAAATGAAATGTTTCTTGATTGTTTTATTTTTATATGTTAAAGCTTAAAAGAATTCGAATACAAAAATACYTATATGATTTCTTATTGAAAATGACCTAAAGTTAATGCATACCTACTTAACTACCTTATACATTTTTATTGATATTTTTTTGTAGGAATTATTGTGTAGATTAGATCAAAAAAAGGAATCAACAGAAATATTGTGCAAAAATGTAATGAATAAAGATCCATCGATTATTGTTGTCCAAAAATATTGATACCTACCTGCTATTAATATCTAATTAATAATATTTCTTTTCTGTGCCTATTTATGACACGGTGGCCTACTWTTAATAGTTACAAAATTTTTTTTAGAATTTGAAGTTTTTGAATTAGTTAACACAGATTTGGATAATGCAATATATACCAACCACGACTTGGTATATTTTGATTCGACTTAATTTAGAAAGATAATTTTTAAATTTTTATTATACTTATATGTAGTAAATAATTATACATATAGGTAATGCATAGTTAAATTTTAAATCTTATGTTAGGATTAAGAATTTGATATTTAATAATTATATACATAGATATTTACTTATTGATAATAGATTTAAATTCATAAAAGTTAAAAGGTATATTTTTATTTATGTCTTTATTATTTGATTTTAAAGTGTTGTTATTCATTATTCAATATTAAAGTATGAATATTAATTTAAAACTCATGATAGCTGATATTTAATAGTATATTCTTTGATTTTTGTTAATAGAAAACAATGGATATAAATAATGTTACCGAGTGTAGTGGCTACGGTTTTACTGCAGATGAAATGATGGAAAATCACAACTATTCTACATCTCAAAATGTTTTGAACACCTGTAACAATAATTCAGATTCACATTCTTCGATTATTTCATGGGAGTCTTGTAATAAAGAAATTAGCCACCCTGAATTGGACTTTGTAAATAGTCTGTTTTCTGAAAATCATACAGAAACATGTCAAMCGCTCAATCTATGCATTAGAGACAAAAAAAATGAAGTGAGTTAAGTTTTCTATATATATTCTATATAATTTCTACCTATTCAAGTATTTTATTTTAGTTGACAGTTTATGTTTAACAAGGTAAGGATAGAAAAAAGAAATTTTTATTTATCACTTTTTTTTATAGACAGAAACAAATAAAACAACTAGAACATTTTTCACAGACAGAAAATATAAAAGCACAAAAGGAATACAAAAAATAAACTCTGAAAAATATCTATTTACAGAAATTATGAAAGATCCAGTATGAAAATAATATTATATGTTTTAATTAGTTTAATTCATAAGAAAAACAGTATAAATATAATGTATAAAATTTAATTTATTTAATGCTTCAGAATTTTCCGAAAGAATGGGATAAAATGAAGACTGAATTTGATATTTTGAAGCACACTGAAGTAGTACCTATACAAATACCAATATTCAATATACATTTCATAAAATAATAATATGATTCCTATTTTTGTTTTTGTAGCGTTCYTTTAACTCTGATCAATTGAAGAATTTAGACTGTTTTGAAAATATAGAAGTATACTTATAAAGAATACATACTTATCAACGAATATTATTAAACTTAATACATACATTTTTTTTTTTTTTATAGTACACACTAAATAATGACAAAGTAGAATACAATTTGGATTACACAGAAGTATATAATATAACATATAAATATCTTATAATTCGATAGGTGCATAAATTGTATTTATTTTTGATTATTATAGCATGAACTGAAGAATGAAAACAATTTGGTGATGACTAAAGTATACACTTTTAAATTTRAAAATCACAATTAAATAAATGAATATAAATAATTTTCTTTAACTTTTGTAGATCTCTTCTATACATCATGATGAATACTGCAGTTTGGACAACACAGATGTAAGTAAATAGTATTATTGTATATAAATATAAATTAACTGAATGCATAAATTGAATTCATTTTCGATGATTATAGTATGAACTGAAAAATGAAAACCATTTAGAGATTACAAAAGTACCTATATGCACTTATAAATTTAAATATCAAAATAAATAAATAAGTATATTAATTAAATGTTTTGTTACTATTGTAGCTCTCTTCTATATATCACGGTGAATTAGAAGATGCATACAGTTTGGATCACACAAAAGTATGTAATATTGTATATAAATATCAATTCACTGATTAGGTACATATTATATTGTATTCATATTTGATGATTATAGCATGAACTGAAGCTTGGAAACAATTTGGAGATCACAGAAGTATAGATAAATAAATTTAAATATTGCAGTAAAACAAATAAGTTAATTAATTCAATTTTTAAAACTATTGTAGATTTCTTCTATACATAGCGATGATTGTAGTTTGGATAATACAGAGGTATGTAAATAGTAATATTGTATATA